GGGGGGGGGGGGGGGGGGCAGTCCCGACAGAAAACGTACAAGGTTACACAAGAATACCGAAAGGTATTCTGGGTAGGCCTAGTTTTTTGTTTCTTGATTGAAGTTCACAGAGTTTTACCCCGATAGAAGTAAAAAGCAATGATTTCCTGTAATTCGCGTTAAAGCAACAGAAAATGCGACAAGCCAAAATCAGTTTCGGCGTTGGTTACGTTCGTTTTTGCGCTTTTCGAATTACCACATCCTCAAAACAGCTGAATATTAAGATATTAATCGAATGTTGTTTAATATTTTTTACTGTGACAGTCTTAGAGTAAATAAAGATACCCCGTAGAGAATTTCTAACGTCACCATTAATTGACTGAAGCGAATATGTTTAATTCGCGAGTATTTTAAGAAATGTAATATTTAGCCGCTAAAGAACTGTTAGCCTGAGTGTACATGTGCACAATTTCTTTCACGCTGAAAAAAGTCACTCTTTCGGCTTGATAGGAAATCCTCGTAGACGTCTCCACGTAGGCAATTTCTTTGACAGGTCTTTGACAGGTCGCAATTTCTTTGACAAACAATTTTGATCAAGGTTATACTTACCATATGCAGTGTTTGCGGTCAGATTTTTTCGTCTCATTATAGAAATACCCTAATTATAATCGCTTCATGACGGTCGACACGCAAAATTTAAATACTTTGAAACAGCTTCTTTTACTTTGAAAGTCCTATGTAAATTGAAAGACTACGCTTTATTCACGTTCTGCCTCTCAGTAAAGAGGAACAATTATTTTTTAAAACAATTTTTCCCTTCATTTATTCTGTTCCATTTTTGGTGACACTATATCGAGTTAAGTTGAAGTTGTTTGATTTGACGCGCTACAGAATTTTTCTTCAAATTAAAGTTTTAGAATGTGATGCTATTTCCCTTGGTAAATTTAGAACTTATTTTCAAAATTCGGAACGTTCTTTATCAGGCGAAATCGGCACTTTTATCCCGATATTAATCTGAAAAATGCTTTTTCACTGATATCATCTAAGAAACTCCATTTACATATTTTTCGATATTTTTGCTGGAGGTATTAACGTTTCTGCAATGTGAGGAAAATTTTATGCGAAGCCCCATGCTGCTTGTTTTTTTTGATGCAATTTGTTAGTCTTTTTTCTCGAGGTCTGTCAACCGAAACATGGCTGACTGGAGCTAGACAAGCAATTTCTTTGCTCAGGGAATTTAGGCTGTTCCTTTCGAGTCACTGTCGACTCGATTGTTGTTCGTAGAATTAGCAGTGGCTGTCTTAAGCGCGATCAGAAATATAACAAAGCACATAAACACCTCACAAGTCCTTAGTAATGTCTGCACGGCAATCCACGGCCAGTGGCGCACTATTCCTGATTCATTGTACACTCCTGTGTCGCCAAGTGCCGTGTACACAATGGTGGAGAACATAACCACGCCACAAATTGACCCCAAACACAGCAAACACACCAACCTTTTTATCTTTTTGCTCTCGGCAGCGAGGCCTTGGTTGTACTGCGTGGTTTGGCGCGAAGCTTTCAAGTTACGCCATAGTCGTGCCGCGGCCAATGCATAGCCCAAAGCAAGAAGAAATCCCCAGAGAGCGAAAGTTAGTTGACAAATCAATATCATTACCTTGGCTTCATGAAAATGAGCAACGATTAAGTCCGAAAGTATCACGTAAAGTACGTTCACGGTCCAAACCCCGAGGAAGAACCTTTGGTTTTGAAACTTGCTCGGTGCAAGCGAGATACGAGTACTTTCTAATACAATTAGCAATAGGTAACTGAATGCTGAGGTTACGCACGCTGTTCCGACGCCAAAAGTTATGATGCAAATGACGAGCTCTGTTTTGTTGTGGTTTGGATTCGAACCGTACGGATCCCAGATCAGAAACACTGTGCGAGTCGCGCCAAATGTCAAAAGAAGCGCGTTCATCAAAAAGCGGTGATCCGTCCTCCTGAAAAACGCTTTCCCTTGCTTTAGGAGGACGTAGAGTCCGCGAACTATGACAAAGCAATACAGCACTGTAAAGAAATACACGTGAAAGGGCCAGCCCCATTTCCAAATTTCCTTCGCTTCAGGCCAATCGGGGACTGGCTCGGGCCACGGTTTTTCGTTTTCCACCATACTGCATGAAAGAACGGAGAAGTTTAGCTTACAACATCCTGTGGTATTGTTTAACCTGGTTAACGACTCGTACTTGACATATATATAGCTACACTTGACAACCGAGACAAGTTGGTTTCCGTTCTTACGCAGGTGATCGTGCAAACAACGATTTCATTGGCTGATTTTATCACTGTATATTACTTGTTAAAACAACAATTAATCCCCACCTGAGGGGATTTGGATAATTCACATGAAAAACAGAATGTTTTTACACAAGATGATTTCAGAAGGTACTAAGTTTCAGCAGAAAGGGAAGAAGAAAGTTGACAAAAGTTAAAGAAAAATAATCAGCAATTATCTGTCTCCAGTTCAGGGTTCTCCGCTAAAGATGCATGTGTGCTTTCTGAAAGAGGATTTCATGACTTCGCTAGATGTCAGATTGCAGCGTCCTCATTTTAATTTCCATCACAAATATAAATGTCTTGTTTTTAAAGGCGACAATTGGCGATAGCTTTCAAGAGAAAGACTTACACTGTGTTCGAAATTCTGAGACACATCTGGACAACTCTTGACAGAAGTGAGGAGGATGTTTTTCTGAGAAAATGAATCTGCTCTGTGTATTTTTAGCGAAGTATCCGGCAATCGTTTAGTTTTATTAAGTTGCTCAACATAATAAGAATTCCGGAAACGAAATTTATTTTACTAATTGGCTTAGAGCGAAAATGAATAAATTAAAAACTACGAAAAAATTCATTCCCGAGTTTGCCTTCTCTCCAAGTTTAACATTTTGCTGAATATGAATATAAAACGGCTTCATTTTCCTTTTTTCTTGATGTAAAATTTTTAGTTTTGTGTTGGGGGAACCTTCGAGAATAAATTTTATTCCCTTCAGATTTTTCATTCAGACAAGTATCTTTTTAGACTTGTCGATGCAGGTGATCTATGTGTCAGTTAAAGATAGCTTTAGCAGTTTGTAATTTACATATAATTAAGTTCTGTCCTAACTTACGCTTTTTCGTCTGTAAACTCATGAAAAATATTTTCAATGCTTTATTACCTTGAATTTTGCTTCATGCGACGTACAAATGCTGAAATGAAACAAAGTGACCCTTTTTCTACAAATTGGTTATCATTTTTAACTGTTAAGCGGGCAAACAATTACCAAGCCTTTTCTTGTTGTTTGTCGAAATGGTTATGTATTGATCCTCAACGGAAACCCGATATGGCGGGGACTTAAGTTGAATGTGTGTTTTATGCATGATGCTTTATTTGTTAAAGAAAGCTACACATGCCAGCGAGCAAACATACTTTTTCAAAGTGGCGTAATTTTGACAATTTTCAGTGCATTGACAGATCGACTATTCTTCGCTATTTGTGTTGTGCAGCCTCGTTCCCGGAGCCTTTTCCCTAGCTTGGGGCCTGGGAACGAGGTTGTGTGTTGCGGAAATGCCGATTAGATTAACCTTTTAACGCTAATAAGGATCGGAGTGCAGAGAGCTTACTGATTTTTCTTTTTTAAGCCTTAAACCGGGTGCCCGGTTCCTTTCCATAGCAATCTCCTATTAAAACACAGCTTTCCCCTTCGAGGAATTCACTGAATTTCTTTTCGTCTTGTTTTAGCCCCGCAGTCACGAAGCCAGTGCGTCTGGCTGAAACATTTGCCCTTACATGTCTTTTCTTGTTGTAACATAACAGTAACCAATTGAGCCAGTCAATTGTCACGACCCGGCAATGAAGCTACTTGTTGAGAAAATTAATTATATATCCCTGTGAGTCAAACTTAAAAGTACTCTATTACAAAGCACTGGTCCTGGCTGCCGGGTTAAAGTCATAAGAAACCCGAACTCTCCTCTTTAGTGAAAAGGCTGCATTTGCGTCCCTTGTTTTCCATAACAAACACGCGCTGACTTCTTTTACGAAAAAATCGTGCAATCTTTTTTTTCAAAGGTCGATGACAAAAGATGCGCAAATTAAAGTTAGACCTGTGTGGTCAAGTACTAATGTGATTATAGATTGCAAGAAATCTTCTATTAAATCAAGTAGCTTTAACCACTTCGTGCATTACATGAATTTTGTTTCGTGCTTCAAAATATCGTTTTGAGCAAGTCATTAAATATCTAGTTTCAGGGTGTAAACGGGCTGTCATTATGTACACAGAATTATTTGGCCCCATCGTCCGGGTTTGCACTATTCGGAAACTGGACAAAAAGCAATGCAAAGGCGAAAGTTCTCGAAATGTCTGTCACGTAATGCGATTTGGGAGGAAAACTGGAGTTAATATAGCGTAACAGCTTCAGTTTATATTACATAGCTCTCTGCAAAGGCATTAGAAGTGTTTCTGAGAAATCTCAGTCTGACGTTTTCCCTTTTGGCGACAAATGCGAAGTGGAAGAGACTACAAATCACCTTCGCGTGATCGAATTCGCGAACGCGCGCGCGTGACACGAATCAGATCTGATCTATTATAAAAGGCCCTGGTGTTAGAGTGTCTATATCATTCAGTTCCACTTCAGAGATAATGAGTCCCACAGGGAGAGCAACAACAAAGGTTGTTATATTTGAGCCTAATAGCTTGGAAACATGCATTTCTATCTCTTATAGAGCAAATTAGCAACGCATCAAGCACTTTGAATGCGTTAAAAAGCCGTGCCAAAGCATGCTCCTCTCGAGAATGGCAATAAGCCATAGTGATGGGTCCACACTCGAAATAGTTGACAAAACGTTAACTAATAAGAGAAGATTAATTTTATTCTCTAAACTATAATCAAAAGTTCAGTTTTAGCCTCGTGAAGGGCGAGGTGAAAGTTCAGTTTGACGATCAACTTTCTCGTGTATTAGAATTTGAATAGATTTGAATTGAAAGGAAAAAAATTATATACAATTTGTCTCTTCTTTTTGAAAGTTGGCTGACTAGAGCTTAGAAGAACTCGATTACCACTGTTCGAAGTCCAAACTCGTCTAGCTACAAAGAACTTTGAATTTTCTAATATAATCTTCGCTAGCAAGTTAACTTCATACAAAAGTCTCGGGAACAGATTTGTCGTCCATCATGACACTAAACTTTTTCACAAACAGTCTAACAAGTTTATCATTCGCCATTTCTATTGCCATCTGAAATGGCGTCAATCCATCAATGGTCTCAGCAAAAGGGTCACAGTTCGCTTTTAGCAAAAGTTCAACACATTTCCTTTTCTCGCCACAGACAGCTGCGTGTAACGACGTCCAACCATCGTCGTCCTGCACGTTCACGTCAGCGCCGTTTTCTAGAAGATACCGAATGCAATCTACGTTTCCTTCGTACGCGGCTCCGTGCAACGCCGTTGCACCTTCGGCGGGGTTTGTGGCGTTCACATCAGCCATTCCCGACTCCACCAACATCTTCACCTCATCTAAATCGTTGGTGGTGGCGGCGTAATATAACCGTATGTCTGGATGAAAACTGACACTCCGAGGACGACTGTATTTCCTTTTGCTCGCGTTCTTTTCTTCTGCGGCGTAATCTTGAGAGGCACTGCGGATTTCCAGTGGTAATTCCGGTGTCGACGCCGCTCTTGGTAGAACAGTTTTCGGATACAAGAAAGTTCCAGAAGGCAAACTAGTTGCATCAGTCTCAGAAAGATGGGCCCTTCTTTTGTTGCCCTGAGCCATCACACTGTGCGCCAAAAGCATGTGTGTGTGGCGTGCATTTATCTGATCAAAGATATTCACTTCTATTTCAACCTGCTCTCCACACAGGCAATAAACTGGATTCAAAGACTGAGAAGGGTCGAATACCTCAATACTGACATGGTCTTACTCCAGTTGAAATCGGCAAGAGCAATGTTGAATGATTTGCTTGTGCGAGCTTTAAACGAACCGGAAAAATATTCCTTTTGTAGCCCGCTGAAAATAAAGAAAAATCACGGGAGCGTGTACAACGAGTCGAGGCTAATATATGTTGTAATGCTGTTTTCAAGAATTCTAAGGGGGCACGGTGATTGTTTGTAGAACCGCTTAACTAATCTAAGATAGCGACTAAAAAAACACTGATGTTTTGATAATCAACAATAACATTACCTCCAAAAACAAACTGTGAACTCCTGCTTCCACGAAGGGCTTTGTTTCTGCAAACTTGGAGAAAAAGACAAATGACGTGTTTCGAATTATTTTTTTTCAAAAACTGAATAAAGAAGAAAACAATCAAAAACATGACCCTAGGATATCTGACTTACTTCTCCTGGTTCGTGAACATGTGTGTGGGCGAAGAATACACTTCGTGACGTGATTCCGCTTACCTGACATCGCGTGACCTTGCGAAAAGAATCAAGTCCCAACAAGCTTATGCTCTTTTCCCGTCTGAACACGGCTGCACCAAGAAAAAAGTAGATTTTTCGTTGCTCCGCTTGTCTCCATTGTGAAACCAACTGGGATATGGTCTTGCATTATTTTACAGACCGCATCCCGGCTGATTGCGGAATAGAGACAAAGTATATACGTGACTTTTTCGCGGTTTTCAGGTTTTGCCACGCAATTGTTTTTCATGGATTATTTTAAATTCGGTGTTGTGTGAAGCACTTGGCGACCGGATTTCCGGCGACTCGAGTGGCATAAACTTTATCGCTAATTCAAGTGACTCGACTTGTCTCAAGCTCGGGAATAAAGTATCTTGCATTGCCATTTTATATCATTCGCGTGTACATCTCTTCGGGTGGCAGCCCACAGACTTTGAACACTCTAGTAATGAACCTATTCTGTTCGACTTCTAGTTCAGTAAATGGCAAGACAAATAAACGCCTCTGGCTTGATAGAAAACCATATTCTCAAAGATGAATTAAAGCAAATAGTATGAAACGCCTTAACAAACATTTTAATGTTTATCGTTTATATTTTATGTCTGGTTTCCTTAGTTTGTCAAGCTCCTTTTTCAGCGCCCCCGCTACCGTAGGAGCCTGGGTACGAATAGAAATTTACCTACTTGACTCGTCCCCAGTCGTCTTTTGAGTTCATTGGATCCCATGATCCCCTCCGCTTCGGATCTTCAAGTATTACAGCGCGAAAAATGGAGCGAGTAAAAGAGGGGGGAGGGGGAGGGGAAGGAAGTAAGTTTCCTTCCTTCCCCTCTCCCACCCCCTCTTTCTGTTTTTTTGGCTCTCGCCCTCAGTTTTCCGCGCAGACAAAACACCAAAAATCCCGTTCCTCGGTCTTTCTTTGCTTCCAAACCCCACGGAAACGCTTGCTACGCAGGCTAGTTTCTTCCAGACTCTCTCGACCGTCGACGCTTAAAAGACGACTGGCGACCACTCACTGCCTGTCTCTCTCAGCCGGAGGGGCCTTGGCTCTAGGAGAAGGTGGCTCTGGATACACATGATATGGTAAAGGTAAAGGTAAAGTCTGCATGCGAGCCAAGTGGCCCATCAGGCCGGAGCTTATCCCGGTTTCTGTAGCATGAAGCGACTAGGAGTATTTCTACTCCCCGCTGGATGGGATGCTAGTCCATCGCAGGATTGCCCCCAGCATTAAGTTCACCGGTACCCATTTATACAATTGGGTGGAGAGAGGTACTGTGAGAGTAAAGTGTCTTGCCCAAGAACACAACACAACGTCACCGGCCAGGGCTCGAACCCGGACCGCTCGATCCGGAGACGAGTACACTAACCATGAGGCCACCGCGCCTCCCACACATGATGTGATTGCCTAGATTCTCGGACTTTCAATAGCTCAACGCCGTTTTCCTTCCTGCAAAACATCGACCGGTTGATATCCGTTCTAAAACCGTTCGATTGAAGCGCCTAAACATACGAAGAATACTAAAAAACTCATTAAATAAGGCCCCTTCCACACTAAGGCTTTTTTGAAACGGTGCTTTTTTCAGTGATGTGCTTACGTAACGCTACCGTTTTTTTGCAGCGTTTTCCCTTCCTGTATCGCCTGGTTGATAATCGTCGTCAGCATTAATTTACTGTGGAAACCTTAAATAAGGCAGTTTTGTCCATTTACCGAAAACCTTATGTCTTATTGTCTTTCCGAGAATCATAGCTGACCTCTTTTTTGGTACCTAATCAACAATTTCATCAATCCGAAAACAACAAACATCACAAAAGTTCCAGGTGACAATTAACTTAGGAAAATCAGAGGGATTAAAGGGCCTTCAATTCGGAAAAGATCATTTACCGAAAAGATCCGCTGGGTGCCGCAGGGGACTGATATCGCATTTTAATAGGTATAGCTGGGGAGACTGCTACAAACTCACTTTATTTTGTCAACTTGCAATAAAAATTAAAAAATACAAATTTCATGATCTGTAATTCACTTCCATCTTTGTAATCCTGTACTTCTCAGTCAAAATTTATGTCAGGGGCGTAGCCAGCCATTTTTTCCATTTAAGCCCCAATTATACAGCGTAAGTCGTATTTCAAATTTTGCCAACGTCCAAAAAAACAAAAACAAAAACAAAAACAAAAACAACAGTCAACTAAATTTTCGTGCGCAAAACTATTTCAAAGTTCTGCTTTGTTAATAACCTTTCAGTATTTTTTTATGTATAAGATTGAAAGTCATTGTTTTGTTTTTCAAAATGAAACGTTGATATAGCGGTGATTCGTAATTGAATAGTTAGAAAAAGAAAATATGGCCTTTCGGCTACTAAAGAAATTATTTATAGAAATTCTTGTTAAGTCCGTGCTTAATGGCTTAAAGACTAGCTACGTTCCTGTTTGTTCTATTTTGCTCTGTAGGATCTTTTTATACAATTTATTTGTATATTTAGTGACAGCTGGCAATATAACATGGAAATTAGGAAAGAGAATTTCCGATAATCAGGGAGTGATCATCTTAGCCGAAACATTGTTACTTTTGTAATTGACCTTCACGCAGACCCGACCTTTGCATAGTTTGTATGTTATGCCTGGCAGCATTGCAGGATACTTGTAAGTTTGGATTGTACGAGTGCAATGTAAAGGAAGAGTGGAAACTGTTTTCAGAATAATTTGACGTTGATTGATTACTTTTTCTCCGATCGTGATTTTGGTGATGATAGTGGACATTTTTTTAGTGACACTTGCTGATGCCAATATAACAGGGTCTTCATCTCCAAACGCGCCGGGGAGTTCGATTTTACTTCTTATCGTTTCTCAGTGAATTGCACTGCAATCCACTGAGCCACACATTCTAAATAAATAATAAAGTTGTGCGACACCTTTCAATGCACTGTACCATTTCTTATGACAGTACTTAAACTCTCCCGGGTGAGGGAGGCAGGGGGAGGTACTCCGCAAAGCTTTTGGTGAGGGTTTGCGGCACGAGCTTGTAAACCTGCACCTTATTTCAGACCAAAATCTGTGATTTTCCATACCCTCTCT